CAGGTTACTAGAGGTCAGTGGAACCCTTATTCATATGTATATTCTATTTTTTTAAATTCAAATACATTTAATTTTTTTTATAGAAATCTGCCTTTAACTATCTTAAAAGTTTATTTGCAACACACGTAAATGAAATTTAAACTGCCCGCCTTTTCAGAAAACCTTTAGGCGCGATGCAAATTTTCTCCTCTATTCTAACGTTTTGAATTCCAACACAAAAACCATCATCCGGGTTTTCCATAAGCAACAATAACTGTGAAAACTAAAATAACAAAGGGTACAGAAAAATTACAAACAATCAGCACCTGATATTAACATCAGTTTTTTTGTTTAGAATATCATAGTTTAACCTGTTTTCTAAAACCCTAGAACTTTCCTGCATCCTTTTTCATACACTGCGAAAGTTGAGTACAATCGGCTGAAAGAATGGTACGTGAAACGAAGAGAAAATAACGCGGTGCACTAATAATGTCAAAAAGCAGATAAAAAGCTGCTTATTTCTGGACAAATAACAATGATTGCAGCGTTGTATTGCATTTTGCTAATTTAAAACCAAAATAACATCAATTTCGACGACTGAATAGAGTAGAGCTTTCCAAGTACAGCTTGATTATTACCTTCCGTCTCTCACGTCTTCCCTTCAAAGGAAACCATGATGTCATACGCCTTTTGTTTGCGCTCTTCTTCTTTACTTTCCGGACGGTTAAGTTTTTGTACTAAAAATACTCAGTAAAAAAGTAAGTAACAAAAACAAACTTACGCACCGAGGCATTTAACGGCTTTTCCAACGTGGATTGCTCCTCTCTTTTCAGTGAGGTTGACTCGCACTCCGACATAACCAGGTCAAAATTGAGCCACTTTAGAAACCTTGGGTAGCAATCGAACTTCATCAAAAGAAATATCTATAACAAATAACTGATGAACTTTCTAATGAACGTTCTATAACAGTATTCAACCGCTCCAAAGAATAGAGAGAATGAAACTTCTACCATTCACCTCTACTGTAGCTCGCTGCATAGTGCAAAACTCAATTCAAAATTCTAGAAACAATAAATAAACGCAAATATGAATATGTGGTTAATATACAATAACAGTATACTGTGGCGGCCATGGAAAAATCCCGCAGAGGCGGGCTTGCTTGGGGGGGATAAGACCTTTGTCAGAACAGCACGTAACACCTTAATTCGAGACACTATTTTAAACAGATTAAACACAATGAATAAGAACAGTAGCAACTTTGCCAAATGAAACAAAATATTATCCCGCTGCTGGGTTAGCGTCCACGAATGAGAGCTTTCAAAGCTTAGAAGCGTATCCAGGTCATGTAGAACACCGCAAACAGAGATAGAGTATACTTGAATCATCTAAGCCATGAATAAGCCTGATTAAAAGTTTAGAAATCTCTGAGACAAAAGGACTGGACCAAAGTAAAGTCAACAGGTTCCAAAGAAGAACACATTATATGAAAATTGACAATATAACAGATATGGTCACATGAGCAGACATAAACATGCTTGCGCTGGGTGATCTTTTTTAATCAAAAGTCACAAGTATAAATAAAAGTCATGAGTTAGTGGGTCAGAATAGATTTGAGTTAGTGGGTCAGAATAGATCTGACAAGCCATGATCTTGTGTAGCCATATGCTGCATGTATCGCATAATAACATTCAAAATCCCTTTGCTGACATTAGTATTGATCTTATTAAGATTAATCGCAAAATATCGCTCTGGCATGTCCATACTGCTCTTATATACCAAGTGGTCCGTTAGCATTTATCACTTACTTTATTATTATAGCGCACATTCACTCATATAGGACAATTCTGCAACCGCAGGGGATAAAATCTTGGTAATCACTTACACCGGACTCTATATAAATGAGATCGAAAACCACCAACTAGTCCAAGAAAAATTGGCAACCGTATAGCGCACGCATTACAACAATACTTCGTGTCCTGCACGAGAATGAACACAGTGAAGTGAACTCCCTACTCAACGGAATTAAGAGTTTTAATTAAAAAATATACCCGGAGATATAGTTCAAACTCGGCACTTAATGTGCAAAGTAACACTGTAACCCGTGAATCACTCACCCAAGGTCAATTGCAGTCATAACAATTGCATGTAACGGGTCAGCTCAGAGTTTATATAGCTATTTAAAGTGTACTGTCAGGCTGAACACTTCAAATGCTTACCAATTTTTTATTTCCTAATCATATTATTATATCATTACTAGCTGCCATGCTGGGGAATGCACACTACGACACCACATTAAACTTAAGCCTGAATGATCGTGCGCCAAGACTTCATCTTCTAATAAACCTGTATGCACCTGTTGCTGGGCTGGTTCAAACAGATGTTCATCAAAGATGCCCTCCTTCACCGAGTCTACAACCTTCCGTTTGACACTGGAATCAACGTTGATCGGATAAGTGCAGCCACTGGCGAAGTATTGATCATGAATATCTACGGCCATGCTCGAACGCTACAAGTACATGCCGCGTTAGTAGCACTCCCATTAGCCGGACTTTCATTTCGACACATTACCACGTCGCTGTCGCTTCCCTTGTAAATCTCGCATTGCTGCCAAAACTCGATATTCTCCTCACAGTGTTGATCGGTAAGGAATTTCTGTATGAATGGAAAAAATAAATATAAATAAAAGTAGCGATGAAAATACAATTAGGGGACAAACAATACCGTAAAAATCCGCACTCCAAATGGATCCTTCAGAAGATCGTCGAAATCCATTCTCCACTTTTCGTATCGCTCCTTAAGAATTATCGCTCGCTTTTTTTTATCGCTCTGCCACGTCGAAGAGACATAGTTGCTCAGCTTTCTTCGTAAAACGGTCGCGTACTTTTTACTTGTCCTGTCTTTCACAACCTCTTGGTCCACCGATTCCAAATGCGGCTCTGACCGTACTTCATCTGGTGGACTTGAATCACTATCCTAAAATTGAGTGATTAATATAAAAATCAGCAAAAATGCAAAATTAGTTACTCAAGCGTTTACAGTACGCACTGTTAAAAATTTTAAATATATATATTTATCCAGCAAAAGTCCTACCCCTTCCATAAGTCTCTAAATAGAACAATATTATCTTAACATTATTATTTACAGTCAAGGCTTTAATTCGAATTAATTACGTACTTGGACTCATAATAGAACAAAACAATTTATTCCAAAGCATAAAAGCTCATGCAGAGAGGTGCTGCTGCATAGGCAAAACTTGACGTGCTACACTAAGCTCATGGGGTGAATGCATTTTAATTACTTACTTGTGTTATTTCAACTATCATCAACAACGACGATGAACTCACTAATGTCTGTGAAAAGATGATTTCCACATTCCATAAGCATGGGAACTGCAAATAATGACAAGTCCGCTGCCGAATATCCACATGGTTTCAACATTACTTACAGCGTTAAAACAAATTATGGCGAGAACACACAAATGACGATGATGATGAAAATGTCACTGCATTTTGAATGCGAAAATTCAGTGGTTCAAGCAACTATTCATGGCACTTTCTGCGCGGTTGATTAAATACTTAAACGCAAACAGTTGTTTGTTCACCCAATTGCTTACTTAGGCGAGTTAACATAACTTTTGTGAAAAACTTTCGCACGTATGATCACAAGCATATAGTTACATACTTTTCGAAATGCTCTTCATCCCCCTTCTTCTGAAGCTGCATTGCTCACGAGACTTTCCATTCTATAGGTAATTCCTCTGGTTGCAATTCCTTGCAAAAAGAATGCCATACTACTCAACTAAATATATGTGCAGATTAAACACGATCCAGATCCATAATTTTTTTTATTGCCCTTCAAATTTCACCTGCTATGATTTTAGGCACACCACATAGTGCTTTTTCTGTATGAGCAATAATGTTGATAACTGAGGTTTACATGATAAGGACTGCATAAAATCGTTCGCACGCCCCCTAGATATTCTTACGAGCTGTATATCAGATAACGCAAGAGCGTT